GTACTGAACAATTCATCTGAACTATTATTATTCTTCAATCGAATGTTAAGACCTTTTTTCATAAATTTTAAAGCTAATTGTGATTGATCATTTTTATAATGTGTCCAACCAATGAAATCATACGTTGCGGCAAGTTCAGGATGTTTCAAGGGTAGTTGGGATTTTAATTGACATTCAAGCATCATTTGATAATGATCTAATGCTAATTTATAATCTTCTTTTGTATCATAAAGTGAAGCAATATGACGATATGTTTATGCAATTTTTGAATCATCTGTTTCTTCAGCATTTTTTCTGAAATCAATTGCCTTTTGATAACACACTAATGCTCGTTCATAATCATCTAAATTTTCATAGGCCTAAATTCTCATAGGTTTCTGCTAATAAAACCGTATTCATTGATTTAAAATAAATTTCATTTGTGTTTTGATAATGTGCAATTGCTTTTCTAAATTGTTTTTGATTATCGTAACTTACAGCTAAATTATTATCAATTGTAGCTAGTGTTGGATGAGATGAATCAACATATTTCACTGCAATAGCCAGAGCTTTTTTCTTATATTTAATACTTTCACTAGAATTATCATTTGCGGCATAAACTGAACATTAGACTTAAAAACGTTTCTCCCTCCTCTTGAATTGTACAATTAAAATAATCTGTGATATTCGAGTAATTCATATGACTACAGACTGAGTAAGCCGTTATGCGTTTGAGACGTCTGAAAACTTTCTTGTTATCAAGTTTTTTCTGGTAAAAGATCACGTTCCTTCTTGCGTCATTCGATCGGTCTTTATTCGTACTACAAAAGTATAACTCGGTTTTCTTGAAATTCCTCTCCATTGCTGAGAAATTTCACTTTTGCTAAATCAGGAGCGGAAACATCGGAATTGTGCCCGTAATTCTCAATTTTCTCCACCAAAACTCACTTTTTATGCAATAAAAGTATCATATTCGGAGTCAGCGTCAAAAACTGAGTCGAATGACTGCGTTTTTATTCTATCCAACTACCTTTGTTATTTTCGAATTCTCTTGGTTTGTGCAAGAAAGTTACTGAGCCTTTCACCAAAAAATGAAAATCAACGGAAACTTTCAAATCATATATCATTCAAAAGAACCAAGTTATACTTTTGTTGTACGAATAAAAGCTGATCGAATGACGCAAGAAGGAACGTTCCATCTTTTACCAGAAAAAACTAGATAGCGTTTTGCGACGAGGTCTCCGCTTTGGAGATATCCTTGAAGATAAATTAGATGATAAAGGCGATAAAGGCGATATTCGTGATCCGCTTCAAATTTTCTATCGAATCATATATAAAGAAGCTAAAAATAAAATAGTGCTTGATTTTTCAATTACGCGCGCCTTACGTATATGTATTTCATTTTATGTTTTATTTTGAATTCTAAAGGTGGTTTATCTCTTATTTTTTAGATATATTCGTTGGCCAAAAGCCGCGTACAGATGTGGAATTTTGGCGAGTAGTTAAAGAGAACAATATTTTAGACGAAGACGATTGGCCGGGTAATGTAGAGGAAATTTATGAAACTCCAGCTGAGAAAGCCCCTTTTGACTTGCTTGATTTGGGCGATGAATTAGATACTCCGGGTGTTAATGATGCAAATGAAAAAGATACTTCTATCTCTGCTGGTCCGGTTAATGTTGACACCACTGCTTCTCTTGCTATGTTGCTCACTTCTTCGGTCACTGATCTCGATGATGGCACAACACTTGTTAATCTTATTTCATTTGATTCTCCTAAATCTCTTTCAAGACCTATTCAAGATCTTTCCGTTGTTGATGTTGCCATTCCAGACACTGATATGAAAACCACGCAAACTTATGATCTTCTCAATGAGTTAATAGTTTGTGTGCCACTAAACACTGTCCCTGTAAGAAAGCCAATGTCAAGTGTTCTACCAAATGCCATTCAAAGAGAGATGATTGTAAAAATAAGGAGTAGTTGATTTGATTTTCTGTAGTATACAATATTTCGATTAGTCTGACAATTGTACTTAGTGCCATATGCCGTGCTGCTCAAAAATAATAAAAATAATTAAAGAGATCTCGGACGGACGCTTGAAACTTAATATTTATATTTGAATTTGCTATTGATCTGCTGTACCTAAATGTTGGCATGTTCAGTTTTAATTTTTGTACAGTGCCACCTGTTGGGTGAGTTCGAGTTTGCCGTTCTCTGATTCTCTTCGGCAGTATTATCTTGATTTGTGAAATTCTATTTAGGGGGACAAAAATTTATAAAAACAAAAAAAAAAGAAAGTCCCAAAACCCCGTGTATGTGATGGTACTATCTATTCGTGTTAAATTTATTCGATAGATCTACTTTTCATCGTCATTGGGTTACGGGAAAAATCATCAAAGGGAATAGAAACATATTATTGTTCGTTTTATGTTAGCATGTCTTAAACGCACAATGCCAGTTAAGATTAAACTCGACATTACATGAAAATAATGTCGAATTCTAATTTTGCCTACTTATTTTTAGTCATACTTACAATTTCAATTTTGTCTAGAGATCTTTCAGTCAAATTTTAAATTTGCCTAGTCAAATTTAAAATCTGCCTGGTCATAATTAAAATTTTAATTTTGCCTAGCGAATCTCTAGTCAAAATTAGAATTTTAGTTTTGCCTAGGCAGAATTAAAATTTTAATTTTGCCTAGGCAGATTTTAAATTTGACTGGATTTTAAGTTTGCCTGCAACATATATATCACTTTTTAATAGAGTGATAGAATATCATGTTTTGGATTTTTGGACTTTTTGGAGCTGTTTGGGATATTTTGGATGCGAATTGGGCGAATTTCATCTAGTTTAGATTGTTAGAAAAACAGCTAGTTAGTCTTATATCTGTTATGATAAGACAAATTATTGTAGTAGCAAAAAGATTGGTTTTATGGGAACATCGTTGACAAATATTGCTTCCGTCTCCTACAGTTTCAGTACAACCTGACTGATCCCAATAAAAAAAATGCAATTATTTACACATGTTCATGGTTGTTAAGAAGAGTCTTATAATTTCATCGCGGCCGAATAAACAGGACGCGGGACGATAACAGGCAAAATCGGTCCACGCTCAAATCAGCCTTAAGTTAACTCATCTGATGCAGTTTTTGTCCACGATTAACGCCAACATACTTTTAAATCTTAAAAAACCTTCCCAGCGCCAGTGGAAACCATTTAGCAAAAAAACACACTTCTCGCGTTAAACGGCGCTTACTCAAAGTATTTACATCATTCAACCAGTTTCATCCAGAGCAAATATCAACTGTTATGCGCCGTTCGATAGAGCATTTCACGGGCTACAAAATGATATATAAGATAGCCTAAAGAAAGTGTAACTGGGTAGCCTAAGGTCCGAAATACTCATTCAGATCACAGGAAACCAGCAGGTCAACGTCGTTCATGTTTATAATATCCATTGGTTTTCTGGTGAATTACTTCACTTTATATATCATTCGGTAGAGACTTTCACGAGCTTCAAAATGAGCTAGCTATAAATAAGCCTTTCAAAACTATGCTCACATTGGTCAATAGTTGATATACTTGGCCGATATAATTGTTTTAACCTGTCTTAGTACTTTGGACACTCCGTTAGTCGTTTTTCTGCCATAACCAAAAATCTTCGGGCTATTTAAAACATTATTCAGATTGGTTCCAGCTTTTACTAAAAGGTCAAGAACAAGGAGTTCTTGTGATTATGCCGCACTCTACTGCTTAGAGAACATTCAAAAGCTTCTTTTCCATATCTTTAATGACTGGCCCGAATGCAGGCAAGAATGTCCGCCCGAAAAAAATTTTTGTAAAATGCCCCCGCAGTTTGTCCTCGGACAAAATGTCCCGGGTATTTAGTCCTTGAAAAGATGTCCTACAGAATTACTGTCCTTGGTCAAAATGTCCTTTAGTCTAGATGAAACTATAGCGTTTAAAACTCATCTTGATATTTCTAGAAATCAACTAGACTATTGCAAAATGTTTTTGAGTCCATTTTTTGAGAATCCCAAACAGAGAATATATTAGAAATTACGCAAGAACTCTCTTGCCTGAAATATCTATTTTTGAGATCGCTCCAAAATATAGAAAGACGAGTAAAGACAGGTGTTTTGGTTTCCTCTAGAGAGGACGTAATTGATTTAACTGTACAAAGGCTCATAGAAATGTTACAAAAGCAGAATAAAATTGTACCAAAGTCTTTGGTTTATAGCGAAAAGTGCGGCCACGATGGCGCAGGCAGTATGTCAATTTATAAGTCTCTTAATTCACCAATGGAAAACACAAACATTTTTTCAGTGTATGACTCTCTCTCTCTCTGGAATCTGTCATATACATGTGAGTAGAAATCACTAGTGTATGTGAAAATCATGGTGACCTGATAGCGGACGAATATCTTAGCGACAAGATCTTAAGAAAGTTTTAATTTATTGAATTTTTTTTCTAAGAGCCACGTCGCGATTTAACTATCGCGGCGTGAACGCTCTTCTTTCGCTATGTGGCGGCGCGATCGCTATTGAGTCGCCAAGTCGCAGCGGGATCTTGAGAAATTCTTATCTAGAGAGAGGAGGAATTTTAAAGAGTCGTGATGAGTTCACGATGTCGCGATGCGGCTCTTGCCATCGCGAATTTCAACAGACGTACTCTGCTTAGTCGCGCTACGACTCTTGCTGCAACAAGCTTTTCTTCAAAAGACTTGCTTAGTCGCGGCACAATCGCTAAAAAACCTTGTATTCCCATCGCGATCGCGCTGAATTCTTAAACTTGCGCCGTGATCTTGGCCTAATCCTGTTTTAAAAAAAATCTTTTTTTAAGATTCCCTGCATTGATTGATGTTTGCGGCGCGATCGCTATAGATTCGCGATCTCGCAGCGGGACTTGAAAAGTTGATAAATTTTCAAAAACCATGTGAATATTGCTTAGCGCGGTCCCTATATTATCGCCGCACGATTCGCGATATACCGAGTCGTACCGAGACAATCACAGATATATAAACAGCAGTATTGGACTAGCCGCGTCGCGAGGCGCGATGTTCATCGCTTGCGGTCCAGGTGGAGGAGTTTTAAAAAGTCTCGGCGCGAGTCTTGATTGTTCTATGTTGTACCTTATATTTTCTTTCTGAACTTATGTAACACACACATAGTGAGAAAAAGAACAGAACAGGGCACGTGTATGTGTGTTGTACTCATGATTATGTTGTTCTCTTCTTTTATCTTTAACCTATTGTATACACAACGTGTATGTTTTATTTTAATAGTTATTTCTTTTTGTTATCGCAGTGTTCAGATCACTTTATCGTGTAGTCTATTGCAGCCATGCACTGCTTTTTTAAACTTTTTGTTTTAATATATAAGTTTAAAATATTAGGTTGGCAAGAAAGTTTTTGAGTTTTTTTCAAACATTTTCTTTTTCTTTTTCAACTTCAACAATCCAACTAGCTTTCAGTTATATATGCATCACTCCTATCTATGACTTGTCGCCAGTGGCGGCGGAGCCATTGAGACAAGTGAGGCTTGAGCCTCATCCGGATTTTAGCTGTAGAGGCTCAGCCTCACTTGATTTCCGAATTAATATTGTTATTTTTTATTCGCAGGATTTGTTATGTCAAGCACCTGACCCATTCAGATACATACATATTCTCACATATATGTTATAGGCAAACTTAGAATTCAGGTAAATTCCGAATTTGCCTAGGCAAAATTAGAATTCTGATTTTGACTAGAGTTTCTTCAGGCAAGATTAAAATTCCAAGTTTGACTGGGCAAAATTGGAATTCTAAGTGTGACTAAGTTAGTAAAAATTAGAATTTAGGCAAAATTGGAATTAAAATGGGAAAATCAGAGATCACAACTGATAAAGTCATAAAATTAATTATACGTGCTAAAATCATGCTCTTAGTTTCTCCTGCTAGGTAATAAGCCATATTCACCCACTGATGTATCAGATGTATTAGAAGGAGCTTGAATTAAAGAATAATCACAATCTCGAGAAGGAGTGATTAGCTGAGAAGCTAGAGCATCTGTGTGTGACCATGAAAGAAACAATTGTTTTAATTCAATTGTAACTCTTGCAACAAACTCCTTTCCATTATCACTATGAAGCAACCGTGGTGGACCAAAAGCAACTGTGAACTTTATAACTGAACTCCCTGTTCTCTGAATGTGAGAGAAGATAAAGAGAAGACAGTTAATTTGAAGTTGAAAATTGAGTGAGTTATTAATTTTTTAATGTTAGATGAAAATAGTCTCAGTCAGTAAATAGACTCAGCATGATCCATTACCTATAGTCCATCCATTTTCAAGCCTACCAATAGTCACCGGGTGTCAGTCCTGAGACAAGTGGGAAAGCCGATGCAAGGCTCGAACCGCGAAAAATAAAGATCTCGCTCGACTCCTACCTTGAAGAGAACACCCTGGGCTATCAGTTCGTAAAAAAGAATCAATGCAATCCGATTGGAAAACTGTTACATACGGTCTAGTTTTTCAAAGACCTCCTAGAAAATCTGTTTTAAAGAACTCTTCTGAAAAAGTTTTGCTTATGAGAATATGTCCCGAATCTCCTCTTTCAAATGGTGAAAATCGGAGCTCTCTAGCTACTTTCTAGCAAAAGTTATTCCAAAAATGGCCCAGCCTATTCTTTTTTTAATCGACAATAATTATGTTTTAGCACTCTTTTGCAAATAGTCGAAACAACAATTCTCGACAACGCTTCCTTGTAGAGAATTCTTTTTTTAATTGAAAGAGCATATCCAGCTCTAGCGCGTTACAGAGCCCTTTTTTCAAATTAAGCTTTCTTTTTTTTTATTAAAAAAGGATTTCTAGAAAACTACTAGTGTTTTCTACGGGTTTTGGAGAGGTATTGAACTTCTAAGCCCTATCTCCCCCGCAAGAAAACCAAAAATTTAGAAAAGGACTCTGTAACACCCTAAAGGTGGACGTCCTCTATCGAACTAAAAAAAA